AGCCCCCCATAACCATAAAGCTGCATCTGGGATCTTCACTAGCTAAAGAGCTACTAAAGACGAGAGGTGAGAACCCAAACGACACAAATACAAGCTTTTAACTCGGAGCCTGAGGGGGAAAGCCCCTCTGATTCTACGTCCCGACACCGGGAGTCTGTCCACTGGTCAGCATCGGGCGGCGAGGCTCACCTGCCAGGTCGGTCAGCTTCTCGGCCCTCTTGTTCTTCGTGGTGATGATGCCCACCTAAAAACAGAAAGCAGGGTCCCGTGAGTGCTCCGACCCCACGGCTGCCCCCCCGTCCCGTTAGCTCTCCTGGCCTCAGCTTCTCAGACGGACGGCCGGCCGGAGCTGTTGGTCATCGTCTGTCCGCGGTGCTTAAGGCGTGGACAGCTCGCTAGATTTTTCTTTGCGGGCTCCCTCTTTGTGGCATCTTTTTGAAACTCTGCCGGCTGGTGAGCAGCTATTGACCGTCAGTGTGTCCAGGGCTTCTGACACCTGACACTGACTTTGTAAATCTAGGGGAGATCCAGTTCCTCATGTCCTGCTCATGGAGGAAAACCTTTCCCCACCAGCTAATCCCAGAAACGACATCAGAGACCTCCGTCCAGGAGAGTGAAGCTGTAGGAGGAGCAAAAATACAGCCGGACCCTCGAGCGTCCGGCAGCTGACCCGGGCGAAAGGTAACAACTCCTTTTTTCTACATTTTCTCCAATGAGCTCGGACGTTTCCCATTTCACACATTTCCAAAGGTCTGTTTCAAATAAAGAGAGCTTGGGTTCATACCTGACTGATGGGATTTTGGTCAAAATACTCGTCCACAAACTGCTCCATGAGCTGAAAGAGAGAAACGAGAGGCTGTCTCTCACCGATAAAGAGCTAAAAGCTGTCAAACACGTGATATCTGTGGGAGGAAATTACTTTCAGAGTAGAGGTGAGGCGGTTAGGCTTCAGGTCCTGGTCCTCCATACTGCGTGAACAGTCGATCACCACGTACAGATGACGCATCTGTAACACAGGACAGCCCTCTAACCATCTGGAGTTATGGTCACTTCGGGCTTTTGCTCTATCTATATGTATTCTTTGTGTGCCATCTGCCCCTTTTCTGTTCCAGAGTACGGTTTTTATAGTCTGTTCAAAAGTACCCGCTTAAAATCAGCTTCGGTCTTGATTTTTTCCAATAATCTTAACTCATGGCGATCAGCAGTTTTCATAGTCACAATTTCTGGTGACCAGTATACACTCAAACGGCCATAATGTGAAATATGTATTAACCGATGAATGAATATATTGTTCTAAGCACCAAAAAAAGACAAATAACTTGATCTAGCTTCAACGTGCCTGAAAATCCTCCAGAGGGAGAAACCAGATGAAATCCCTCACTGATTCCTTTCAATGTGGAGGAACACCGTCCACTTCAAGCTCCCTCCCCCATTTCCACCCCCAATTTTTAAGGCGGAACCCAACCTCCCTCATAGGGTATCCCACCTATATCAACAACAATCACTTAGTTTAATTTAATCTCATGGCATCAGAAAGTGCCACTAAACAGAAAAATCTATACATTTAGAAAATATATCAGAATTAGATAACCAAAAAGGTTGTTCAAATTGCAGAGTAATTAAGTTCAGACAGTTCACAGTGAGTAAATCTGGTTATCGTCTCGTGGATATTTCAATAATTATGTCAGATTGCTCAGTTTGAGTGCAGCAGAGGGGCAAAGCACAGCAGGGAGAACTCACTCACCATCCCAAGCCGGACCTGCCCATGGCTCTCTGTCACCCTGTAAGGGAGAGAGACCCAAAAGGGGGGGAGCAGTGTTATTTACTGAACAGGAGGAAGAGTGTGCTGTCATCATG